GTCATTTTTTTTCCGTAAGATTTATCCAATAATAAATATGAAAAACAAGGCTCAAGGCCATCTCTGTGTGTGGCAATGCTTGGCCTCGCGGGTACATGCATGCATGCATGCGTGCATGCATTGTTCCGCATGCCATGCATGAATGATGGTGGGTCTCACGTACAAGACCATTCACAATTTGAACTTTTCTGCTGGATGGATATGAGTACATGCATTACATATAAGTGCACACACATAATTTTACAAGTTTTCAGTAATTATGTATGATACAAAATTAATCAAATATGAAGTTTTCTAAGCAAGAATATATTAGTAGTATTGGTATTGCCCTTTAAGAATAAAAATATATAAAAACTTCCACACAACATTACATTTGAATCACACTTTTGGTAATACACAAAGAATAAAGTATAATAGTGCAATTTTCACAATCTAGTATAATTTACACACATCTTGCATAGTACTTGCATGTACACTTACATACACAAAAAAATGTTGTTTAAGAAGTAATGAATTAGTGGCATAATTACTCCTCTTTACCAAGAAGAAAATAAAAAGATGAATCATTTTGCACACAGTTTATACATAAATTGCACTTTTTATAATATGCAAGAATAAGCATATAATAGTGGAATGATATTGGTATTGCCCTTAAAGAAAGAAAATAAAATAAAATAAAAACTGACAAAATCAAAATAATGAAGTACAAGAATGAAACCCTTTAAGAAGAAAGAAAATCAGAAAACCAAACCAAAATCAAAATAATAAAGTTCTCTAGGGAATAATGAACCCCTTTAAGAAGAAATAAAAAGAGAAAAAAATATTACACACAAGTTTGCATTGAAATTGCACTTTTAGTAATATGCAAAAAGGAACATATAATATTGCATTTTTTGCACTCTACTATAATTCACACACATGTTGTATAGTACTTGTGTGTATACTTATTTACACACACACACACACAATAACATTTCTAAGAAAGAATGAAGTAGTGGCATTGGTACCACCCTTTAAGAAGAAAGAAATAAAAACAAATCATGATAAAATTTCCACAAATTTACACATAAATTGTGGTTTTTTATATATGCAATAACAAACATATAATAGTAGAACTTGTATATAAATAAGTTTAAAATGAGGTTAGAGTCATTGGTATATATACCCTTAAATTAGAAAGAAAGTGAAATAAAAACTTAAAACAAAAATTTCCACACAATTAGTACAAAAATTGTACCATTTATATTATGCAAGAAGAAATATATCAAAGTGAAATTTTTGTACTCTAATATAATATATACATGTAGTACTTGTGTGCATACATTTACACACACTCAACAGTCAAACATAAAAAACTAAAACAAAATCAAAATAATGAAGTTTTCTATACAAGAATGAAATATTTTAAGAAGAAAGAAAATCAGAAAACTAAAACAAAATCAAAATAATGAAGTTCTCTAGGGAATAATGAACCCCTTTAAGAAGAAAGAAAAAGAGAAGAAAAATTACACACAAGTTTGCATTGAAATTTCACTTTTAGTAATATGCAAAAAAGGAACATATAGTATTGCAATTTTTGCGCTCTAATATAATTTACACACATGTTGTAGTACTTGTGTGTATACTTATTTACACACACAAAAATAAAAAATAACATTTTCAAGAAAGATGAAGTAGTGGCATTGATACCAGCCTTTAAGAAGAAAGAAATCATGATAAATTTTTCACAAATTTACGCATAAATTGCAGTCTTTTTATATATGCAATAACAAGCATATAATAGTAGAATTTGCGTAAAAATAAGTTTAAAAAAGGGTTAGTGTCATTGGTATACCCTTAAATAAGAAAGAAAGTGAAATAAAACTTAAAACAGAAAATTCCACACAATTAGTACAAAAATGCACTTCTTATAATATGCAAGAAGAAACATATCGTAGTGAAATTTCTGTACTCTAATATAATATATAAATGTAGTGCTTGTGTGCATACATTTACACACACACTTAACAGCCAAAAATACACATAAAGAAAAAGGAAATTCAACTAATGAAAGGAAAAACAAGACAAAAGCAAACTCGTGAAAGAAAAACAGAGGCAAGCACAACGAAAAATAGCATGCACGCACACTAAAATGGGCACGCATTGCATCCAACCATGTGGGTGCAAGAGTCACGACGTGGTGACATACATGCATGGGCTGCATCATGCACTCATCAAGAAAAGGCGTCAAATACATTGAATAATTAACAGCGTCAGTCAAACCTATGGAGACCACGTATCGTAAAGCACATTGAATCAGGGCAAAACATTCGACTGACCGCAGGCTAAAAATTCAGTCGCCTGCCATATAGCTAAAGTGAAAAAGAAGAACCGGGCGGAGCTTGGGAAATTCCTATTTTGCACCAGATAGTTCGCTATTGGTACAGGGCGCCCAACGTTTTTATATGGGCTGGCCAGATCTTCCTGTTGTTTCTCAAAAAAAAAACACTTTCTGTTTTGGGAAGCTTTCAGCTAGGTCTTCCTCATTCATGATTTTCAAATTCGTGATCTTTTATTAAAAAATCTTGATTTTTTAACAATCCATGAACTTTTATTCAAACTGGTGAAGATGTTTGATTTTTCTTATACGTGTGAACATTTTTCAAACCTGTGAACATTATTTCTAATTCATGCTTTTTTAAATACATAAAAAAGCCATAACAAGTTTTTCATGAAGTGGCGAGCAAACTCAAAGTGCCATGCGAGAGAATAAAATAAAAAAACGTCTACAGGGGATAGCGAGCATTGCTATTTGGGCCATGGTGAGGAGGGTCCACGCAAGCCCTTCGGTGGCGGTGCATTGCGCCGACACTCTCCTGGTAATGG